CAATTTATTTTTTTTAACAACAAAACAAAAGGCTGTCGGTGCAGCAAAACTTACTTTTGGCAGATTGGATCAGAAATAATGCAGAGCAGATCATCAGGGGGGCAGAAACCAGACAAGGCAGAAGAGGATTGTGATGTCTGTGAACATAGAACAATCACCGGACAAGGAGTGAAGGAAAGAAAGGCTTTTTATGTGACAGAGGGAGAGTTAGTAACGAGAGCACCTGGGCAAGTGGCTGATGAGGGACAGGTGTGAATGATAAAGACTGAGTGGAGAAGCAGACTGAGGAATGAGAGGAACATAACAGAAACAGATAAACAGAAAATCACACACAAAGCAGAACAATAAAAAATATAAAAAGCAGACAGAGACAGAAACTTGAAATAGAAGGAAATGATTAAGACTGTGGGATGATAGTTTGAAGATATAAATGTTGGTTTCTGGTTGCAGCTTGAAGGAGGTGGCAGAGGCTTGGCAGATGGGGGGGCAGCAGGGGCCGCTGACCGTGACAGAGCATCCCTGTAGGTACCCTATACACAACCCTGTAGGTACCCTATAAGTAACCCTGTAGGTACCCTATAAATATCCCTGTAGGTACCTTATAAGTATCCCTGTAGGTACCCTGTAAGTAAACCTGTAGGTACCCTGTAAGTAACCCTGTAAGTATCCTGTAGGTACCCTGTAAGTAACCCTGTAGGTACCCTATAAGTATCCCTGTAGGTACCCTAGAAGTATCCCTGTAGGTACCCTAGAAGTAACCCTGTAAGTATCCCTGTAGGTACCCTATAAGTAACTCTATAGGAACCCTATAAGTAACCCTGTAGCTACCCTATAAGTATCCCTGTAGGTACCCTATAAGTAACTCCGTGGGTACCCTTTACGTAACCCTGTAGGTACCCTATAAGTATCCATGTAGGTACCCAATAAGTATCCCTGTAGGTACCCTATAAGTAACCCTGTAGGTAACATATAAATATCCCTGTAGGTACCCTATAAGTAACTCCGTGGGTACCCTATAAGTATCCCTGTAGGTACCCTGTAAGTAACCCTGTAG